TACATACAATGGAATACTACAAAACACTGAAGAATAATGATGTATCTGTGAAACACTTCACAGTACTATGCTGAATGAAATTAGTCATTCACAAAAGGATAAATAGTGTATGAGACTAATGTTGTAAAAAGTTTTCTTAATAAAAGAAACTATCAATGGGGGTTCTTGGGGTGTGAGGGGCGTAATAAAAATTATTCACAGGTAGATAGATGGATGTTAACATAGGTGACAGGGCAGGCAATATCCGACAAGAGGGAGGTTAGCAGAGGAATGATGAAGGTAGCTGGAAACACAGGGAGGAATGCAATAGTTAATGTGAGTAGACATAAGTATTGTTAACTGTTAGTACACTGCAGGGATTGCTATTATGTAATGAAGCAAAATAAATGATTTGTTAAATGTAAAACTTATGATCTACTCTGTAAATCTTCAATCAAATCACAGTAAAAAGTTTAAAAAAAAAAAAAAACAACAACAAGAGCAGATTTGGCAAATTAAACACTAACAACCGAACACTAGAAGAGTTTAAGATGACATCAAGAAATCATACATGAAGGAAGCAAAAGGTCATTAGAAAGACAGGAAACAAAGAAGACAAAAATGGATGCCAGAAGAGACTCAAACTTTCTCGTGAACATAAAATAACTAAAGTGAATTGGTAGAAATGAGGAAGTAAAACAGCTGAACAGAAAATTTCAAAGGGCAGCTCCAGAAGTCAAAGTAAAGTATTATAATTAAATATACAAAGATATGGAGTTAGAAAACCAAAAGGTTTCTCAAGCTAAAAGAACTGAAGAAACCATTCAAGCTTCAGCTTGCAACACTGAAGGATTCTATGGGCAAAAAAACTGAACAATGCAGGAAACATCCAAAAAAGAAGGTGGGAATATTCTCACTGTACTAAAAAGAATTGGTTGATGCTCAACTATTTAGAAGGTATGATCAAGAAACGATGATACTGAAGGAAGAAGTCCAAGTTGCACTGATGGTATCAGTAAAAGACAAGGCTGTAACACTAACTGAAATGTTTCAACAAACTGATGAAGCACTCCACTAGATGCACTCATTAGTTTATGCCAAGAAAATTGGAAGACAGATACCTGGCCAATCGATTGGAATGATTTATATTTGTGTCTATTCAAAAGAAAGGTGACCAAACAGAATGTGGCAATCATCAAACAGCATCAATATTAAATGAAAGTAAAATTTTGCTGAAGATTATTCAAAAATAGTTGCAGCAGTATATCAAAAGGGAGCTGCCAGAAATTCAAGTTGGAGTTAAAAGACAACATGGAACTAGGAATTTTTGTTGTTGTTAAGTGCCGTCAAGTGGGTTCTAACCCATAGTGACCCTCTATAGGGTTTCTGAGGAGCAGCTGATGAGCTTGTACTGCTAACCTTGAAGTTCAAACGGCTTTGCAATCTGGCGCATTAACCCACAGTGCCACACCAAGAACTAGGAGTATCATTGTGGAAATCAGATCGATCATGGCTGAAAGCCGAATTTCCTTGTATGTTTGTTTTTTCTCTATGTAAAAGCACTTGACTGTGTATAACAAACTCTGGAAATCATTGCAAAAAAACAGGAATTTCAGAACACTTAATTGTTTTCATGTAGGCAGTTGTTCAAACAGAACAAAGGGATACTGCTGGTTTTAAAATCAGTAAATATGTCTATCAGGGTTGTAGCCTTTCGCCATACTTATTCTATCTGTATGCTAATCAAATAATCTGAGGACTACATGAAGAACAAAGCGGCATCAGGACTGGAAGGCTCATTAACAACCTGAAAGACACAGATGACATACCTTGCTTGCCGAATACAAACAGGATTTGAAGCACTTGCTGACAAAGAATACAGCCTTCAGTATGGATTACAATTCAATAATAATAATTATAATAATAAAACAACAACAAAGATGCTTACAACTGTACCAGTAAACATCATCTAAAATGGAGAAAAATCTGAAATTGGCAACAATTTCATTTTACTTGGTTCCACAATCAATGCATATGGAAGCAGCAGTCAAGAAATCAAATGATGGATTACACCAGCCAAATCTACTACAAAACACCTCTTAAGTGTTATAGGGCAAAGATGTTACTTTGAGGTGTTCCTGACCCAAGCTCTGGTATCTTCATTTGCCTTACATGCAAATGAAAATGTGACAATGAATAAGGAAGACCAGAGAAGAAATTACTTGGTCTATGTTCAACCACCTTAAAAGGCAGAGCAAGTGATTAAAAACTAATGGTATTAAAGGAAGAAGTCCAAGTTTCAGTAAAGGCATTAGCAAAAAACAAGAAGATTCCAAGAACTGATAGAATATCAACTGAAATGTCCCAACCAACTTCATGCAACACTCACTTCATCTGAAAATATGTTTGTGAAGAATATTTGAAGTATCAAGGACTGCCAGAAGAACAAACAAAAGTGTCTTAAAAGAGGTATAGCCAGAATAATCCTTAGAAGCAAAAATGGTGAGACATTGTCTCACATACTTTGGACATGTTATCAGCAAGGACCAGTCCCTGGAAAAGAACATCATGCTCAGCAAAGCACAGGTTCAGCAAAAAAGGAAGAACCCCAAATAGATGGATTGACACAGTGGTTGCAATATTGGGCTCAAACATAGTAACAATTGTGATTATGGAACAGGACCAGACAGAATTTCATTCTGTTGTAGCTATGAGTTAGAACCGACTCCAAGGCACCTACTGACAACAACCACCACCATTGGTTAACCCAACTCAGTTGTTGGGATGCTTTTCAAGTATCTATTCTGAGTCTTCCCCTCTTGTTGATTATCAAATTCATAGTTGTTCTACGTTCATATTTCCTCATACGTTTTAGTAATAAAATCATTTCAAAAGCTAATTTAAAAAAAAAAGTAATGAAGAAAAGTCCTAAGAGCAGAATCCATCAGTCTTTCTTCCTACTTGTCCTATGTGGCCTTTCAGTGTCATGGATACCTTTTCAGTCCAGCCTCTCTAAAAACACCTTCTTTTTTACTGAATTGTAGAGTAGAGAGAGCAATGAACACCATAATGGAAGGAATATGGAGCTACATCCAAAGGGGACTCAAAAAGTTCATGGAAAAGTTGAATGGAAAGTTAATGCAATTTTAGAAGACACATCCAACTTCTATCTCTCTAAACCTTTGTAGATATGCAATGTTCTTCTTCCCCAATGTGAGTCATAAGATAGCTTTCATTTAAGAACTAGCACAAATACTATCTTCTCTTACTTAAAGATTCATTTATACACTATTATAACATTTAGGAGGAGTGCAGTGGCTCCATATGATAAGCAACGTATTGCAAACCACCAGCTCTGTGGTTCAAGCCTGCCAGTTGCTCTTTGGGAGAAAGATGAGGTTTTATGCTCCTGGAAAGATTTAAAGCCTTGGAGGCCACTAAGAATTGGAACTGACTTGAAAGCACTAACAACAATACCATTCAGCAGCAATAAGGTACAAGGCTGCATCCATTGTAATAAGGATTGCTTGTCTATTTTTTTGTGGTACAAATAACAAAGTAAATGCATTAAAAAAAAATAATAAGCAGGAAGGTATCTACCTTAAGGGCATAAATACGGAAACCAGAGTTAAGCAAATACTGACAATAATATTTATACAAATTACAAACCTACCAGTCCTAGTAACCAGTATTTTAAAAATCTACTGTATTCTAATTTCAAAGTGCTATTTGAAGTCAAATTAGAAGAGGGGCAAAAATACTTACTTCCATTGTTTCCAACGACGAAGTTAACATTAGAACCAAATTTAAAAGGCCCAAGCATGGAATGACACATAAAATTTTTTAGCTGAATACTCTCAATTATTCCAACTTCTGCTGCAGTCTGTTAATTTAAAAAAATGAGAAAAATAATCTAACTCACTATAATCATCCAAACATGTGCTAGTAGGAAAGAGATGAGCATTATAAATTTTAAAAATTACAGAGAGTAAACAATGTTAACTTCAACCAATGAAGAAGCTACAAACGAACTAAGAACCATTCAATGGTTATTCCAATGTAATGGAACTAATAAGCTCTCTCCCTAAATTAGTCACAATTTATTAGCATACATGTAATAATTTGAAACCACTGTTTCCCTTGCTCTGTTTGAACAACTGCCTCTTGATCTATGTACAAGTGTTCTGGAATTCCCACACTTTGCAACGTTATTCATGAATTTGATATGATCCACACAGAAGAATGCCTTTTTTTAGTCAATAAAACACAGGCAAACATCTTTCTAGTATTCTCTGCTTTCAGAGAAGATCCATCTTATATCAGCAATTAAATTCCTCATTCTATGTCTTCTGAATCTGACTTAAATTTCTGCAACAACCATTCCTGAGTTCTCCTCAGCAAAACTTTCCTTGCATGTGATGTTAATAATTATATTCAACAATTTTCACATCTCATTAGATCCAAATATTATTACATGTACTTATTATGCCATCTGTTGATCTTCTTTGCTGAAATTTCTCTTTAAGACTTTTAAGTCCAATTTTAAATTGGCTTTCTTTTAAAGTGTTGAGTTATTAAAGTTCTTACATATTTGTAATACTAATACTAGTACTTGTTCAGATAACCAAAAACTAAACCAACAGCCATCAAATCAATTCGAACTCATAGCAACCCTACTGGAGAACTGCCAAATAAAATTTAAAAGGTAGTGCTGTAAGATAAGCAATGAACTGCTAACCATAAGGCAGGCAGTTCAAACCCACCAGTTGTTTCATGGAAGAAAGATGAGGCTTTCTGCTCCTATAAAAATGTACAGCTTCGGAAACCTGATACAGGGTCGCTGTGAATCGGAACTGACTCAACAGCATCTAACAACAATCTTTATGGAGGTGACTATCATATCTTTTTCCAGAGGAGCAGCTGATGGATTCGAATCACTGACCTTTTGATTACAGCCAAGTGAAGTACTTAACCAATGCAACATCAGAGTTCGTTTGGTCAGCTCTGTAGGGCTTGCAAATACTTTCTCCCAGTTTGTCATTTGTCTTGCAAGCATTTAAAAAAAAATTTTTTTTTTTGTAGAAAATGTTTATTTTCTTTTTTTAAAAAAGCTATATCAAGATAGTTCACATGCAGTTTAAGTGTACAACTCAATGCTTTTAGACGTGCAATCATCAGTTAACATTTGAACACACTCATTACATTTACAAAAATAAACCTACAGCCTTCAATATCATTCTCCTAACTCGCCCCTCTCAGTTCTAAGCAACCACTAACCTACTTCCCCTGTAAAAAGACTTGAATTTAGTCTTGAAATTAATATCCATTTTGGATATTAATATAGACTTATATATTAGGTATCCTTTTGTGATTAGTTTCTTGCCCTTAGCAAGCTATCAAGGTTCTCTCATATTAGTGCTTTAAGTTTCCTTATAACCCCCTCAGAACCCACCTGTGAAGCTCATAAAAAATTATATAGCCACATGTTCTACCTCACTGACAAGTCCTTTCTAAGCCTCTTCATCCCAATGTTCTGAAACACTTAATTTAAAAATAATTTCAATTAACTTACCTTAGACGATATCACTATAATATTTAAATCAAGAAAACAGATAACAATTTTTAAAAAACTTTCTATACCTTTTCAGTTTCTCTAACTCTCCCATGAAATGTAACTCTTCCATCTCTCACTCTTTCCAGTTTAACATTTTAATACTCTTTTGTAGAGCAAAAAATTTAAATTTTGATGATTTCTAATTTATAAATTTCTGCTTTTGTAGATCACGACTTTGGTATCCAAGAGGTCTTCAAACCCATTTGAAAAGGATCAGTCAAGGCCGATGAAAACAAGAGCAGCATACTCACTGCATAGCAACCAAATCTCTTGCGCCTGGGATTTTTACCACAGTAGGAAACGGATGGTAGTGTCCCTAAAGATAGTGGCTGACTGAGATTATCTGAATGTGTGGTACTCACCACAGTCCTGCCAATAATCTACACTCCACATATAATAAGTTACAAATTTATGTGTGTAGAGTTACAAATAAGTTAAACTTATTATCCTTTTGGGGAGTCCGGGTGTCGCTCTGTAGAATAAGCAATGGACTGCGAACTGCAAGGCTGGCAGTTCAAACTCACCAGCCACATCTTGGGACCCCTGTACAGGGTCACTCTGAGTTGGAACTGACTCAGTGGCCTTTACAACAACATTATTCTTTTGAGATTTGTAGGCTGTAGTCATATCCAAGGTTTCCTGATATTATTTGTATCTTTCTTCTTTTTTTCCCTTTATCATTGACAATGTTAGTGCTCGTTTCAAAGACCCAGGTCTTTGTTTCATTGATACTATAAATCTCAAAATCAACCCTTGCTTTAAAAAAAATAATTGTACTACCTATCCTGATTTTAAATGATTAAAGCACACTATTCATAAATCAAACATGAGAAACATATCAACAGAAAACATAATTTTGTAACTATGTACTTACCAAAGTAGAGGTACCATTATATTCATCACCATCTCTATCAAAATCCTCCACCTCTTCTTGTCTTGATCTTTTGGCATTTTCATGAGATAAGTAATTTTCATCCTTTCTTTTTGCCATCAGTTCTGAATAAATAGAATGATGATGATGATGTAAATCAATTATAATATCTATCACTACTCCAAATATATTAAATGTAACAGAATAAATAACACAAAGCTTATTATGTTTTAAGTAATATGCCTATGCATTTTTAACTTTGTGAATGAAAGTAAAAACAATTATCTGTACATTCTATACTAGTTAATTTTCTTTCAGACTTATTCATAACCAAGATTTTATCTATATGAGCCTAATTACATTTTGAATTCTAAACTCATAAAATGTTAGCAATTTTATTTATGTAACTATGGTTTCTATTTTCCTAGAACTATTAATGTTGGTGTTGCTAACAGCCATCGAGTCAGTTCTGACTCACAGTGACCATACATAGTTTCCGAGGCTAATGAATTTTTATAGAGCAGAAAGCCTCCTCTTTCTCCAGAGGAGCGGCTGGGGGGCTCTAAGTACCGACCTTGTGGTTCAGAGTCCAGCGTTGATCCTACAGAGTCACCATATGCCCTAGAACTATTAATAAAGATGGCATAATGCCATCTGAAATTACTCCAGAGCAATTTTTGTAAGTTATAATGTAATATCTAATGAGATAAAATTTCCTTCTGTTTTCAATTATTTTCTCCAAAGAAGCAGATTTTGAAGCTATACTGCCTAGCAATAGTTGCTGCTGTTGTTGTTAAGTGTCATAAAATCAGTTCCGACTTATAGAGACACTACCTTGAATTGGGCTGAAAACCGCAAGGTCAGCAGTTTGAAACTACCAGCTGTTCTGCGGGAGAAAGATGAAGCTTTCTGCTCCCGTAAAGATTTACAGCCTTGGAAACCCTATACAGGGTCGCTATGAGTTGGAACTGACTCCACGGCACATAACCAACCAACCAACCCTGTATAGGGAGTACTGATGTGGTGCACTGTGTGGGTTAATGCGCCAGATTGCAAAGCCATTTGAACTGCAAGGTTGGCGGTTCAAGCTCACCAACCGCTCCTCGGAAACCCTATACAGGGTTGCTATGGGTAAGATTCAACTCAAAGGCACTTAACAACAACAATAAAAACCTTGTATAAAGTTTCCAAGGAGAGGCTGGTGAGTCTGAACCATAGATATTGCAGTTTAAACTGACCTTGAGGTTGAGTGCTTATCCTACTGTTGTTAAGTCGGTTAGAGACGCCGTATAGGGTTTCAGAGGAGCAGCTGGTGAGCTTAAACTGACAACCTTGTGGTTCAAACCAACTATGCAGTCAAGCGACACACCATGACTCCTATTCTCTAGTAGCTTCTCTAAATAGTTCCCTAAAGAAATACTCTGTGCTGTCTATTCTTGGTCAATATACAGATAATAGAAAATATAGACCTAAGATATGAACTTTAAAGTACACAAAAGATTTTACTAAACATACCAATGATGAACTTTTAGACAAAGGTGACAGACTATGATTGAAAATAAACTTTATGATTACTATGGCTATTGCCTTAATTTTTCTTTGCTTAAAATACATTTAACAGGGATTGAGGCATGGTTTGAATTGGTAAAAGGGAGAAAATAATGTTAAGATGCTGGGATGTCTTTTGAATCTTGGTTTCCCTTGTATACCATTATAAAACAGACACTTGAGGAGGAGAGAAAGGAATAGCCAAAAGCATCACCATAGAAAGCTTGTAAGTCCGTCTTCTGCCTATAGCTGATTAGAATACCTAAAATGGGGCTACAACGTGCCCAGTGAAGGAGGCTTCCTGTGGAGCCTCTGCATTGCATAAGATTATAGGGGGAATCCTGGACCCCATCCAGAATCGTCTGAGGTGGGAAATTTCCACTTGAAAGGATAAGCAGACCAGCCTGGAGTGGCTAGAAGAACAGAAGTTACTTCTTGAAAGAAAGACCGAAAGGAAAAATCAAAAACAATAATGGCAGTCCGACTGACTACTATAAGAACAAGCAGCTGCTCACCCATGAGACATTGAGGCAAGTGGTCAGGTCCCCTCAGGCCAAACCATCTTCCAAGACTAAGATTCAAAGGAAATACACGAGCAGACATGTGCTCTGACTGGTGACCACATTGGTTACCGCTAAGAGGAAGTGAGGGAAAACAACAATGAAGCTGCGAGCTAAGCCCTACAACATTCAACAGAATCCTGTAAACCCAGGTGGAGATCTAGTTGGCCAGCAATATGGTAAGATCTAGGGACTCCTGGGCCCAGAGTCAGTGACATAGCCACAGAGGACTAGCATGGAGAGTGAAGTGTCCAATTGATAAGAAGAGAAGGAATATGTACAAGAACACCCACCCACACTTGCAGATAATACCCACTTGACCTGGCTTCAATGACTGGATGATCAGAACTCAACTAGAAGCAGAAAGAAGAGGGAACAAAGAGTAATCTGATACAATTTGATGAACTTGATCTACATCTATGGATGCAGTAGCTCAAAAGAGGGAATAAATCTTTACAAAGAGGATCATTCCCACCCCCTTGATACATAGGGTAGATAGGGATGGGCAATTTGGACACTGGCTACCCAAAATGGAGGCTTCAAAGGCAAGAAGTGACTGGCTTACAAGCTTTCAAGAGGGAACGTAGATCCAGAGGGCGTGAAGGAAGGTAGAATCTCCACTGAGTAGTATCCTATCTGTCTGGATGAGGCTGATGAAAGGAGATAGGGCTAGCACTCATGTGGTACAACTGTGAATAATTGCTATCAGGACTGACTGTAAGTGTCAGAAAGGTAAAGGTAAATGTTTTGTAGCAAAAGGAGGGGAGTGATAGACTTTGCAGTCTAGGAGCAGACGTCACTGTGACTGACCGTCAAGGATGAAGAGCAGAAGACCCTACCTAGATAAACAGTGACTCCAGAGATGGAGGCAGAGACGATGACATGGAGAGATGGAGCAGCTGGAGACTCTAGACCCTGAGAGGGAGAGGGACTGTGTGCTGACAACCAAGGGACAGGTTTGCGGGTATTCCCTTTGGTTGGTTGATGATGCATGGAGGGGATTGTAACCACGGATAGGATGAATGTAAAACTAATGTTCTCCCATGTAGACTATCACATAATTCACAATAAAACATTTAAAAAGAAGAAGAAGAAAGATGAGAGGCATTTAATAATAACAAGAGTGTACCCTAAAAATAAATAAATGCATTTAATAACTGAAAAATGGGTACATAATAATTATTTAGGTAACTAACACAAGTCTGGAGTCCTGGTGTGGCACTGTACGATAAGCACTGGACTGCAAACCAAAGGTCGGAGGTTCAAACCCAACAGTTGTTCCTCGGAAATCTTACATAGTGTCACTATGAGTTGTAAAAAACTAAAACAACAAATAATTGTTTGCTGAATAAACAAAAAGAATAATCCATGATGTATATAATCAAAATTTTCTAAGAAAAGAATATGGAGAACAGTTCGAGCCTCAATTCATTTAACTCATCCCAAATGGTGTGGCGTTGTGGGTTAATGCGCCAGACTGCAAAGCTATTTGAACTGCAAGGTCGGTGGTTCAAGCTCACCAGTCACTCCTCAGAAACCCTATACAGGATTGCTATGGGTCGGAACCAACTCGACAGCATTTAACAACAACAAATAGTACACTACGGCAACCCTGTTGATACCATGTACTTGGCTCCCTATTTCCCCGTGGTAATAGAAAATGAGAATTTCTCCCCCATGAACCTGAATAACAAGATCCTAAACATTCACTAGAAAAAAATTACTGCATTTGATGATATGAATACAGGCCAAGAAATCCAGTCTTAATACTGGCGAAGGAGGGGACTGTGTGGGGGGTGGGGTGGGGGTTCAGGAGGTGATTCTACAAAAGTATGCTGTGCAGGGGGTGATTTTTAAAAGACGTCATCTGTCAGTTTGTCGTATTGTGATGACTTGTATGTTGCTATGATGCTAGAAGCTATACCACCAGTATTTTAAATACCAGTAATTTCAGCATAGCTTACAAATTAAATAGATAACAAAGAATGGGAGGCAGACTACTCCTGAATGTTAGCCACGGAAAACCTATGAAAAACATCAGAACACTGTCATATATAATGCTGGAAGATGAAAACTTTATGAATAGCATCAGAACATTGTCAGATATAGTACTAGAAGATGAGTTCCTGAAGTTTGAAGGCACTCAACACAGAACTGCGGAAGGGCTGCTCCCTCAAAGTAGATTGATGGAGACGATGAGAATGAAGGAAAACCTTCACTTGCTGATGGGGCACAATCCAAAATGAAGAGAGACGGCTGCAAACATCCATAAATAATTGGAACATGGAATATACTAAGTATGAGACTAGCAAAAGTTGTAAGTTGTCAAAAATGAAACAGACTGCATAAAGTTTGAGATCCTAGGCATTACTGAGCTGAAATGGACTGGTATAGGCCATTCTGAATCTGACAATCATATGGCTTACTATGCTGGGAACAACAAATTGAAGAGGAATAGCGTAACATTCATGGTCAAAAAGAACATTTCAAGGGCTATCTTGAAGTATATTGCCTGTGATAGGATAATATCCATACACTTACAAAGAAAATCAGTAAATACCATTATTCAAATTTATGTAACAACCACTAAAGTCAGTGACAATGAAACTGAAGAATTTTACCGACTTCTTCAGTCTGAAATTCATAACACATGGAAATATGATGTATTGATAATTACTGGTGATTGAAAGTGAAGGGTAAAGGCTGGAAACAAATAGGACGGATCAGCAGGTGGAAAATATGGCCTTTGTAATAGAAAAATGCTTGAGATTGACAAAATTTTGAAAGACAAATGACTTATTCACTGAAAACCAATTTAAGAAAATCCCCATAAAAGCAGTTGACTAAACTAATGGATCTCACGAGATGCAGCACACAGAAATTTAATTGATTACATCTGTGGGAAGATATGGTGGAAAAGCTTGATAACATAAGTCAAAACAAGGCCAAGAGCTGACTGTACAACAGACCATCAATTGCTTATATGCATATTCAGGCTGTTGTTGTTGTTGT